TCCACTCTTTTCACAGTGCACAAACCTATATACCCAGTGAGGACTTAAGAGCCAGTGGCTGTGGGCTGGGGAGATAGCTCAGTAGAATAAGTGCTTGCCAGGCAAGTTCAAGGTCATGAGTTCAATCCCCAGTACCGCCAAAAAAAAAAAAAAAAAAGAAGGAGCCAGTGGCTGTGTAGTCCCTGTCCAAGGTTAGCTGAAAGCTTGAGTTGGGAAATGTGGTCATTCGCTGCTGTTGAGTCGGGTAATGTGGTCTGGCCCACTGAGATCATGGTGTATGCTGGGAGAGAGTGTGTGAGGAGGAGGAGCCCTTCTCAGCCAAGATTGATGTGACAAGATGGGTTAGCTGCTCCTGCTGGGCCTGAGTGTGTTCCACGAAATCCTAATCCTCCCTTATCAAAGATTGCTTTTGGGCGAGAGAGATGGCTCAGTAGAATAAGTGCTTGCCTGGCAAGCACAAGGGCCTGAGTTCAATCCCCGGTTCCGCCAAAAAAAGAAACCATTTTCTAGGCCCATCACTTCCTCTGTCAGTCAGCTTGGTGTCACACTGTAATAAATACTTGAAATCATTCAGAGAGAAAAGCTTTCTTCAGAAAAGCTTTCTTCACAAATCCAGAGAGTTCAGTCCATGATTCGTGGCCCTGTTGTTTTGGACCTCTCGTGAGGAAGCTCCTCATGGGGGAGCAGACACCATAGTGCCAGGAAGTGAGGAGAGCAGGAGTGGGCCGGGGTCCTGCTGTCTCTGTGGAGGGCGCCTCTTAAGACTCCACCCTTTAGCACATGACCCTTAGGGCACATATATGCAGACCACTGTACTCCGCTAGAATGACTTTATTATTATTATTATTTTTTTTTTTTTTTTTTGCGGAACCAGGGATTGAACTCAGGCCCTTGTGATTGCCAGGCAAGTGCTTATTCTCCTGAGCCATCTCCCTGGCCCCCAGAATGACTTTAGAGTGAGGCTTAGAAATGAATATGGCAGTGTAATCATTTACCTCACAAATGTCATTTTGGTTGGTAAAATGCCTTATTTGAGTGTAAGCTTGTTCAGCAGTGATTACTTAACATGTAAAGTGATGTTCCTCTTCTTCAATTTCAATTTTATATTTAGAAAGTTCACCCAAACAAGAAGCAGGAATTAGTGAAGGTCAAGGATCAGTAGGGGAAGAAGAAGAAAAGAAAAAACAAAAGAGAGGTAAGATAAGATAAATCTATATATTGACTTATATACAAACATACTTTCTCTCTCATAGAAGAAATTTTAAAAAAGAAAATAAATTTAAAAAGTTCCCAAAGTTTAAAAAATGTTATTATTGTAATTCTGCATACTTATCATTACAAAATTACCTTCTTAGGAGCATGATTAGATGCGGTACTATTTGTCCTTTATGAGTAAATGAGATCAAAGAAAACATTCTAATTTGTCCTCTGTATACATTAAAATGTAACCAGCCACTTAGAATTCTGTATATTGTTTTATTATTACTTCTCATAGCTTAAAACTTTGCTTTATAGCTGTTGCATATACTTATTTCTTGCTTCTAAAACTTAATTCCATGCTCCAGGTATTATCTTTGATGTCCCCATAATTACAGTTAGCTTGTAAAGACTTCTAGGATTTTGCATCTTATTTCGGAAGGATTATAGGCCTGCACCACCTGTCCTGGCTCAGAGTCTCCCAGGGGCCCACGTCTGTCTGACTCCCTTCCTTTCCTGGCCGGGTGTCTTCTCTTGGACTGGCTCCCCACTCCCTTTCCTGCTTCACTGCCTTCTAACCTGGCTCAGAATCCACGACGCTGCCTTGGTAGCCACCGAGTCAGAAGAACATCTGGCCTGCTCCTCTCCTGAAGTGTGCTCCTCTCGGGTTTTATGGCAGTTTTCCTTTCAGGTCTCCTGCCTTTCAGTCCTCCTTGGTGTTCTGTGAAGACCTTGTTTCCTTCTGGCCCTTAAAAGTGGGTGTTTCCCAGTGTCCTGTCCCCGTCCTCTTGCTTTCGTGCTCTCTTTCCTGACACCCAGATGCTTCCTTGTTCTTCAAGACCCACTGGATGACCGAGTCCCCCCTTCGCCTTGCCCACACGCTACCCGTGTGACTCCCCAGTCTGTGCCTGGCTCCTGTCTGCAGATTGGAGGACACATGGTCCCAGAGGCACCAGCCACATCACAGTACTTCTGAAGCCAGATTTGCCGAGTCTCGGGTTGACTTTCCTTACCCCCATTTCGGTAGTGGCTGTGAGAGTTACCATGTGAGCCAAGCTCCTGGGCACCGTCATAGATGCCCTTTGTGCCCCCTTGGTCACCTCCACGTTCTTCTTTCTCCTCCTGACCCTCTACCTGTGCCCAGTAGCCATTACTATCACCATGTTTAGTTTGTGGCTCTGAGCAGTTCTGCCTGAGCAGATGAGGCCCTCCCTCAGTGGCCTTCCTGCTGGCCCTGCGCTTCACAACCTGACCTTCACTGTGGACAGTGTGATCTCGATGAAACACATCTAGTTATTTCATCCCTGTGATCTTTCACTGGCTTCTCCTTGCACAACATCCAGTCTTGTACAGAGTTTTGGGTCTGTACAGACTGCTCTGTGCTCTTCTACTCTTCTGGCTTCATTCGCTGCACACCCGTGAGCACCCTTCAGTGAAGACCAATGAGGTTTCCAGGTAGAATCCCTTTTGGTTATTTTCAAACCATGTGCTTGTTCCATTTCCCTACAGTGCCTTTTTAGTTTTTCCTTGTGGCATTGGGAATTGAACCCAGGCCTTTTCCCCAGCACTTTATTTTTTGAGATAGTCTTGCTAAGTTGCCCAGGCAACATGAGATCCTCCTGCCTCGGCTTCATGGAATGCTGGGATTATAAGTGTGTGCTATCATACTCAGCTGAATATCATCTCTTAGACTTCTCCAACCCCTTCCCTCTCATCTGAGCACTTGTTCTTTAGGACCTACCTTAGAAGTCACCTCTTCTAGGAAACCTTTTCTGGTCTCTGGAAGCAGATTGAGCCATTCCTCTGTAAATGTGTGATAGTGATTTATTTCTGGAGGTTGTTGCATTTAAGTAGGCCTTTTCTGGGGTGGGGAGCACTATACCGGGAGTCCCTAGAGGGTAGGGACAGTGTTCTGTTTCTCTCCTACCTCAGGCCTTCATGCAGGGCAGTTTTAAGACTTGGTATCATATGATGATGAAAAAGAAGTAATGTAAAGTCTTTCTTAATAAAGGTGGAAGGGGTCAAATAAAACAGAAAAAGAAGACTGTACCACAAAAGGTCACTATAGCCAAAATTCCCAGAGCCAAGAAGAAATATGTGACGAGAGTGTGTGGCCTTGCGACTTTTGGTGAGTTCAGGATTCTGACAATTTTGCACTGCTGCAAGTTAAATATGTTCATTTGTTTTACATGTGAGAACTGTGTTCTCTCGCTTGCTTTCTTGTCTTATCTGATGTTATGAAGGCCTGTTTTTACTAAGAACACACAGAACGGGGTAAGGGATGTACCTCAGTGGCATAAGCGCCTGCTGGCAAAAGTGAGGTCCTGGATTCGATTCCTAGTATCAAAAGCACACACAAAGTGAAGTTCTGAGTTCTCATTCTGTCTTTCTCTCTCTGTCTGTCTGTCTCTCTCTCTCTGTGTCTCTCTCTCTGTCTGTCACACACACACACACACACACACACACACACACACACACACACACCCTTTGAGACAAGACTTTGCTGTTTTGCCCAGGCTGGTCTTAATTCAGGCTGCAATGACCCTCTTCTGTCACCTCCAGAGTAGCTGAGACTAGATGTGTGTCCCAGCCTTCATCTGTAATTATAGCTTTAAAATCATATTCTGGAGAAAATTAGCCTTTTTTTTTTTTTTTAATTTTTGCAGAACCGGGGATTGAACTCAGGCCCTTGCACTTGCCAGGGAAGCGCTTCTTCCACTGAGCCATCTCCCCGGCCCCTCCTTTTTGTTTTTTGAGACAGGGTCTCATGTAGTTCAGGCTGCTGTTGAACTCACTATATTAGTATAGCCCAGACTAACCTCAGACTCATGGTGATTCTCCTGCCTCAGCCTCCCAAATGTGGGGGTTGCAGGTATGTGCCACCACACCCAGCGGAAGGAATGTAGAGCTTTTGTAGACTTCCTTTCTGGAAGTCTCGCTTGGGTGCAGCTCGTCTAGGACAGAGAGGGCCAGGTTGGCTGCTCCTTGAAGCATGCTAGTGCTGCGCTTCACCCTCTGTGGGCATGGTGGCAAGGGCTTGCAAGATGGCCTGTTCTGCCCCACGTGGAGGTGACGGGGTGGGGGTGGGGGACCAGGCTGCCGCTCAGAGCCCTCAGTGCCTGGTGGCCTGGAGTGAACAGTGATGCTGTGGGAACGATGTGCTCGGTTGTCACACCAGGGTCTCAGCTGAGGTTGGAACGAAGTGGTAGAGGGCTTCCTGGCACTCGTCAGGCCCAGCGCACTGCAGAACAGCGGAAGAAACCCAGGTCTCTTCCTGAGGCAGCGCAGGCTGAGAAGCATCACTGGGCTGCACTTTCCTGTTGGAGCTATTTGTGGAATGCCTGGAAGTCACGTGTTCTGGGTTCATTTTGTTCTTAACTGGAGAACCGGGGCAGTGTGGGTGCTGCTATTTTATATATTTATTTTATTGAGTTTTTATTTTGCCTTGAAAATGTATGTGGAGGACCGGCCGGGTAGCTCAGCGGACTAAAGTACCTGCTTAGACAGAGCGCAACGGCCAGGGTTCGATCCCCAGCATGTTGTGCTGCTCCCAGTGCGTGCTAAGACAGCGATTGGGACTGCGTGTGGTGGTGCGCACCTGTTATTCCAGCGCTTGGGAGGCTGAAAACAGAATCACTTCGAGTCTGATCTACATAGTGAGACCACGTACACCCTGCACTAAATACATTTAAAAAATGAAAAAGGAAACGTGGAATTAGCTCTGTCTGTGGTAGTTTTAATTATTCTGAGAGGAATCAGAAACCCACTACTACCATCTGTTTCATGAATTTAAAATGCAGGTTAAATTTCAAAATAGAAAAATGTCTTTGATGCACAATTCTAATTATAGTCTAACCCTTTCTTTAAAAAAAAACAAAAAACAGAAATTGATCTTAAAGAAGCACAAAGATTTTTTGCTCAGAAATTCTCCTGCGGTGCCTCAGTAACAGGGGAAGATGAAATCATCATTCAGGGGGACTTTACAGACGACATCATTGAGGTCATTCAGGAAAAATGGCCAGAGGTGAGCACATGGGACACGTACATGCA